CAGCAGGAAATTTCAAGTATTTTCTCTTTGCTTCTCATCTCCATGTGGTGGCTGTTGGCAGGGGTGACAAAGGACTGATGGACAGAGACTGCAGAGGATGGGTCTGTCCCTGTTCCTGTGAAGACAACAAAGGACAGAAAAATCTGTGTTACTGAAGTATTAGAACTAACCACTGGGAACTCGGGTTTTTTTGCATGTTGTGACCAAACAGGACTGCCAAGCCATCAAGGACAGGGCTCTCTGACTCTACCTATACAAAGCCTATGGCAGAATCTCCACTAAGAGTGTGGGGCTTGTGGCAGGCATCCCAGGGCCAGGCTGTGTGCCTCCCACAGGTGATTCATGAAGCAGGTGTTTTTCTCCATCTTGTGGGCTGTGGGCAAGGAAGCATGCAGATGCAAGCAAAGTTTAGAATAGGAGCAGGCACTGGTCAAGTTCAAGCTTTGCCTTTGCTCAACCTGGAAAGAGGGCGGGCAGGTGCCCGTTCCCCAGCATGGATCAGAAGCCAGGCTGAGACTGTGAAAGGCTTGGCACTGAAAAGGAGTCAGGCCCTGCAGTGAAGGTAAACATGGCGTGTTGCATGCAGAGGGCTGGAGGGCTGTGGAACTGCAGGGAAAGTGCCAGGAAAAGGAACTGTGTTGACTTGAGGAAAGTACATTTGATGCAAAAATGCTAGGACTGGTGGTAGGACTCAGGACAAGCAGCCCTTGTTTGCTGTAACATATCTCCAACTCTGTCACGAGCTGGGCATCTCAAACCTTCCACTTCAGTTCTCCCTTTCCCTCAGTTTAACCACTGGGATACAGGAACTCACCCTTACTTAGAATTGCTAATCACTTCCTACCCTGAACCCACAGTCTGGCAAGTTTCTTGCAACTCCTTCCCTCTCCATACTCTTCAGGACCATGCCTGTGATGACAAAAGAGGTGTTGGGCCCTCACCTCACTCGCACGGGGCACGGTAGCTCATCACTGTAGTTTCTTCTGGAAGATGAGAAAAAAAGTGCTGGTGAGATACACTTGCCAAAAACTCACTAAAACAACCCAGCATTTGTGCCTCTGTTTCTAGGAGAGGCATTCCCACAGCTTACAGGCCATGACTCCCCTCCACTGTGACACATGAAACCAATGGTATATGTCAAAGACTCTGTGTGCAGCTAGTCTGGATTGACCCAAGTCATGGGGCTTGCGATCTTTTGAAGCTGTAAGTCCCAAACAGCTCCATTACAGTTATGGATTCCCCACTTTCTGAAGCAATAGCAATCCCTGACACATTTCTAGCTTTTCCTCCCACTAGGGATCCCAGAGAACAGAGGACAAGTTGTTTTAAGTGTCATTCTTCTAAGAGGGCCTTCACTCTTCTAAGCCATCCCCTTATGGTCCCTCTGCCTTTGCTGCCTCCCACAAAATGAGTGTACAAAAGCATGGCTCTGAGCTCGTTGCTCCCCTCTTGTTGGGAGAGTTAGACCCTAAGAGGATCTACATGCCAACTTCAAGCTTGGAAATTCTGGGACCAAAGAAAGAAGGATCTACCATTTTCAAACCCAAGAGGGTAAGTCCATCACTAGAGAGAGCAGTTAGATGAACATGTCAGGGACGGTATTGTCTTAGACTTGACAACTTCAGAAAATTTCTTTCCAGTGGTACATTTGGGTGGTTTCTGCAGTACAGCATCTGAGCTCACCTGGCATGTAGTAATCGTAGACCTTGACATTAGCTGGCTTACGATCCTTCACTTGCATGTCCTGCTGCACCAGCAAAGTGTAGGTGTGAGGCTGTCTAGTCAGCTAAGACCAAGAGATGCAAGGATTACAGCCAGAACAAAAGTCCTGTAAGACAATCCCTTCCACCTACTCTCACTGAGGCTCTGTGGAGACCTCACCACTGTGACAGATCTGTTCTGCTTTCCAGTCCATCTCAGAAACATCTTTTACTTCACATTCTGTGGCCATCTCCTATTTTTGGTCACCAAATTTAACTCGGCTCATGAGAGACATCAAACCCACAAGAGTCAATGTGCATTAGGTATCAAAATGTAGCACTAGTGTTCCCAACCAATCCCACATTCCCATCCAGCTCTGCTCTGAGCTCCTTGTGCATCTTGCCTCAGTGGCTACTTTCTTACACACAGTCCCATTACATCAGCTCTTATTCTCCAGTCTCACACAACCCCCATCATTAAGCAGACAAATGCAAGGTGTGGATGAACATCTGCTGGATGGTAGTAGTTACATGACCTGCTGTTGACTGGGTTCCACCTTGCGCTACCTGGAAGCCTGAGCTGAAATCTTTCTCCGTGCTGCCTTTCTGCTCTGTGCTGTAGAGGTAACGAAAGCAGCATCTCTGCAAGTCTAATGCATGCACACAGCACACAGCAATAACCTGCTTACTATGAGGCTAGCTTAGCTCAGCTTATTGACAACCGGGGATGAAGAATCACAGAAATGTAGAACTTCTCCTTGGAAATTCTGAAGTTTTTAAATTCATGCCAGATCTTTTTTCTGGTGCTGTTTAGGTATGCATGTAGCTAGAGAAAGGCTGGAGTGGTTGTTAATCTGCTGATTAATGAGGATGTGGAGCGAGCACTGCTGCTCACACAACCATCTGGTTTAATTTTGAGTGATCTTGGTGAACTCCATGAGCAATCTTGGATGCTCCCTACTACATTCAGGCTGCTTAAGGGCTTTCTAAGAGTTCAGGCTTGCTTGAATTTACTAGATGGATCCTACTACTACTACTACTACCCAATCCTGATCAGACACCGTATATGGACTTTCAACAGTCTCTGAACAGTGCCAACAGATGTAGGCTTAACATCAGAGTTAGCCTCATTTCACTCAAGTTAAGTGGCCCTGTATACAGGTTCTACAGCTGAACTACTGCAGGCTGACACAACACACTTCTCCAGGTCAGCAAATGTGGCTGATATGCAGGAACAGCAGCTCTGGATACTTAAAATACTAATGGAACTAAGATACAAGGGTAAGCTCAAAGCTATCTGTCAGTCCATAGTCCTTTTAATGACGATGTTAGCCTAAATTCCACTCACTTCCTCCAGGTAGAGAATGACTCGGTCAGCTTCGCTTTCAACTTTCTTCACTAAAGGCATTTTCTTTAGCTGAAAATAGGGGAAGAAATGTCAGAAAGACTCTAACAGAAAGCAGAAATTCAGGGATGTTTGTCCTTGTGAGAGCATGGGCAAAACGTTCACATGGCCAAGGAAGCCCTTGGGGTAGGGGAAGACAAGGTGTGGCCTGGAAGAGACTTTGGGTATAAAGATTTCTTGGGAAGGACAGAACCGTATTTCTCTGCCCACAGGAATGATCACAGTTCTGCATACAGTCTTGAATGACAGACATCCATCACTGTTCCCATCCCAGCTGGACACAAACTCGTGGTCTCACCTCTTCCAGTGAACCTGCCACAGGGCTGTATCCAGACAGCAGCTCCACTTGGATCAGGACCATGTTGGTGGACACACGGTTCCCTGTGTAGCTGCAGCAGGAACCCAGGGGACAGCACTAATGTTACTTTCTGAGCCATGATCTCCAGACACTCCAGCCCAGCTTTGGTACTCAGGTGGAGGAATCTGCCTTTCCTTCCAGTGTTTCTCCTGTAAGCATACCTGTTCCTGTACTGTAATAAGTCTTTGTGCTTCCCCTGATCTCTCTTTTAATTGTGCTGAGCCAAGGAGAATAAATTCCTTGGAAGGCTTCTGGAGTTACCTTCTCTAGGCATGACAGGGAATATCACATCCTCCACCTGCTCTCCTGGCAGTTCTGTCCCAAGTCAGGCATGGATACAGCAGAGGAGAGTGGTGTGACAGTCAACCAGGAGCAGGGGAGGGAAGACTTAGGAATAAGTGTCAGCAGTCAGTCCCACAGGACCTTCACATCACTAGTGTTTTGAGACCTAATCCTAGAAGGGGGTGAGACCCACAGACCTTGGGAGAACTTACGGTGATTGGCATGATAACGAGATAGGACTATAGCCTGAGCCATCCCTCTGGGGCCTTGTACCTTTCACCCAGCTGAGGAGACCATAGTTAGGGGGGACATCTTAGCACTTGGACCTCATGAGTGAAGGGGAATCCTGGCCATCAAGAGACTGGTGTGGTGCCAGAAGCCTCTTAGCACAGGGGAGGCAAGGGGCAACTGAGTGTCTCCTACCGAGCATGAATGGTGACAGGGAACTGGGTGGCGTTGGGTGCAGTGCACTCTGTCTGCACAGATACAGCAAAGGTGACGTCGCTCCTCAGTGGAGGGATGTGGTACCGCAGAATGGCCTGCCAGGACAGAAAGAAGCTAGTTGGCAGAGAATAGCATTTTTTTTTGCTGGATAGTATCCTTGTCTAGTGTTTGGCTGGTGTTTGATGTCTTGCACTGGTGTAAGAGAAAACTATGTGGCGGAAGCGGAGGTTCTACTAGTGCACTGCTCCTGGTGGTGTTCACTGGACTTCTTGGAGGAGAGGTGCAGCTCTGACTGGGTGGAGATGATCCAGATTTCATTTGGGGAATTGCTATTCCCTTCCTGTTGGATCCCAGCTACTCCTACCAGCCTTGAAGCCCAGATTCTTGCAAGTCACTGCAGCAGTCTTGTTTTCAGTGTTGGCTAAGTAGCAAGGTAAGAGGTCCCCTGGGTTTCAAGGCTTTTCCTCAGACAGACCTTTTCTCCCTGGCTGGGCTTACCTGCAGGAAGAGGCACCCATGACCCTGCACACGCACAGTATAATCTCGGGGAATAGCTGGCAGCTCCACTGTCTGCAGCAGGAGGCGATTGGTGTTGTCTACTCGGATGTTTTGGTGGAAACCCTCAGAGGAGAGAGAAGCATGAAGATCAGGGCCATCCTTGCTGAAGGTCTTGGTTGCATACAGGGCTAGGGCTTCCAGAGCAACCACTGTGTCCTGAGGAAAGAGACACACATTGGGCAAAATAGGATCCCTGCTTCCTGTGCATGCCCAGTCCTTAGCCTTCCCCTCCCTCATACTGCAGCTACAGCACAATAAGGGTTGAGCTTTCCCCTTGGACTTTTAGCATGGGATTAGCTCAGAGGAATACAAATATTCACTTTTTCCCAACTCCCAGGAGCTGTAAATCCATAAATCTTTTTTTTTTTTTTTTATATACTTTTTTACTATGGGCTGTGCTAGAACTTATTGCTCTCACAAACCATAGCTGACGGCAGGTTCTCTGCTGATGATGGCTCAAAGGGATTACCTGGGTTGAAGCAAAGCCTCCATAAGGGTTTTGCTGATTGGTGAGCCAAGACACAATCTGGGATGCCTTTCTGATTTCATCTGAAGACAAACTTGACTTTGAAAGGTGAGCCATGAGGATAGTAGATGTCAGTTCCACATCAACAGATGGAGCCCGATACCAATATATGGAGTCTTCTTCCCGTTTGGACTGTTGACTCCAGAATATTTGGTCATCTAGAGGTGGAGTGGGAACACTTATGGAGTGTGTAGCTGTATCTAATGACTTTGACATCCTACTTAGCCCCTGTGTCTAGGTACTGAGAGACTATGTACCTTGGGACAAGATATGGGTGCATATATCCCTATTTGTCCCCCCCACCCTGCTTTTCCCAGTAAAAACCTAGGCCTGCTGGCTGGGAAGGAGCTCTACAACATCCGTGAAGCTCCCCTGGTTTGGGTGACTGGGAAACCAGGACTGTGCGATCATCCATAGAGAAAGTCTGTCTCACAGTATGGATATAGCCTGTGACAGCTTGGCAAACAGAGGCTATCCAAGCCTTGGGCTCCCCACAGAGGTCTGCCAGTGTCCCCCAGTCGTGCCTTCCATTCCCTTGGCCATTCAGCCCTGGGATCTCCACACAATTCTGCCAATGGCCCTCTCTCCTGCCCCACAGTCTTTGGTACCTGATATTATGGCGGCCTCGTCCAATCTTTTGAGGATTTTCTGCCTGAGGGCCTTATCACCTGCTACTGCAAAGGCGTTTGCAGCTAGTGCCAGGCCGTAGAGGTTGGAACTGCCAGTATCAGCATTGACCAGGTCCTTTATACATTTCAGACCTTTCCACACAACTGGGTCCTAGGATACAATTGAAAGCACACCGGTTGCTGGCAGGGTGTATGGGGAGGGAATGCAGCCTTGACGTGTGCAGAGGAAGGTGGAAACAGGGACAGGACACGCGGGGAGAAAACTGGTAACGTCCCCCTGTGTGCACAAAGGCAGAGCAGCAGTGCACTGCCTGTCGAGGGGCTTGTGCACACACAGCCTGTCCCTGCTGCTGATACTCACGGAGCGTGGCATCCCTGAGTGTATGAGAGCTGTGATGATCGCAGAGCTCAGCCCCAGTCCTTCCTCCACTGCACCCTGCAGCCACCACAAAACAGAGAAGAGGAGAGCTGCTGTGAGAAGGGAGAGGGAGAAGTTTTCCAGTGCCTTCTGTTCCCTGAGCAAAAGCCAACGCAGGCAATAGTGCTGGTCCTATTCCTTCTGCTAAGGAAGTGCCAGGGCCGGTATCTATTCTTGCAGGTTCTGCTTACCAGAGCACTTCTCAGCCACGGTGCCCCAAGCTCTTCTGGGTAGCTGATTCCCTCCCTCTGCTGAACACATTCCCCTTTTTCCTCCCCTACAAAAGATCTTCAGTAGCAGATTTCAGTGCCAGGGGAATGTGATGTTCCCACAACCCCGCTGCAAGGTGGCACCTCACTTGAGGGCCAGGACAGTGGCAAGGGTATGGAGGAGCAAAAGAAAAGGGATCTTTTACAGGGGGAAGTGAAAGGTACCATTCTCTTTACTTTAGAAGATTAATTATCTGAGGTGCTGTCCACTGAACTGCTACTGGCTCCACTTTGGTGGTACTCTGTGTGTGTCTGTGCATGCACAAGTGCTGTGTTTCTGAGTATACAGGGCACATGCCTGGCAAGATGAATCTCACATGAGTGGCTGCCATCAATCTCCATTCACTCCATTTCTGACTCTCTCTGTATAGGGGGGGAACTCAGACTGAAGGAAGAAACGGCAGCTCAATAATGGGAAAGGAAGCTAAAGCAGTTTACCAAGGGACTACACACAGCTTGAAAACCATTTTTTGTTTTGGAGGCATGTGTTAGCTTTTGAGGTGGGACTAGGACAGGGCACCAGTTCAGTTCCCATGTGCGTATCATCAAATGCAAACCTCCAACATTCATAACTTGAAAAAGTGCCACCATGACTAAGCACAACCCTGAATGTCACCCAAATGTGACCTTGGGCACATCAGAGCCTCCCTCCTGCAGTAGGGTTCATTTGTTCTTGGCACCCAAATTGGGCCAGAAAGTGAAGGAGCTCTGATGTACCTAATGAACAGCCAGGACATGTCATACCATCAGACCATTGTTGAAGAGCTTCCCCACGCTCTTGAAGCAGCCAGATGGAGTCTGACTTTTAATCAGGGCACTGGCAGCATCCTTTATATTCTGCTCATCTATGTGGATGAAGTCCCGGGCTTGGCTGAAGGTCTTGAGGACAAGGGCAGTAAGCCTAGAGCCAAGGAAGGAAGAAGAAAATTGAATTGAACCAGTCACTGATGCCCATCTCCAGTAGGAGACAGGAGTCTCTGTGTCTTCCACTATCTCATCCCTGAAGAAATACCAGCAGGCCAGAGCCTCCGTGCAGATGGAGAATTGGAAGCAATGCACATGAGTTAGATGCTTTTGAAGCTCGAGCTTGGATCCATTTGCAGCAAGAGAGAAAAAATTCACTGACAGTTCGGTGCTTCCCCCAGAGCTCTGTCAATTCCAACAGGGTGCACTTGTGTGATTTAAAGCCAGGAGGGCTGATATTTAGTGAGCTCACTCAGCCGCTTTCCCAATCCTGTTTGGGCACAAAGCACTCTGGAAAACTTGGAAAGAAGGTGTCTTTGCAGCCAAGTTTTCAGAATCAGCCTCAGTTGGGGTGCCCAAGCACAAACAATCAATCAGGGGTACCTCAAGTCAGTTCATTGGCATGGTTCTCTTCCGAAAAGTCTCAGGAGCAGTTTCTGTTCAAAACTCCATACCTCCTGACTCCCTCAGTTTCCCCAGACCAAAATCCAAGCCTGTTTGAGCCTGACCACATCGAGCTGTTGTTCCTCAACTGTGTCTGGATATCTCTGCTTACCATGTATTCCCTGGTTCACTTCCTTCCCCAAAGGCACTGTATGAGCCGTCTGTGTGCTTGTACAGGAGCTGCTGCTGATAGCCTGTGAGAAGAGGCTGGGGGTAGTGAAGATGCTCTCTGCCTGTCGTGTGCTCAAGGTGACAACGTGCCCCGCCAATCCTGCTGAGCATTATAGAGAGCATTGTCTCTGAGGAATTCAGCAAAGGGCTTTCAGAGGGGTGCCGTGTACCCCTTGTTCAGCTGAGGCACAGCAGCCTGATTTACACTGCTGTAATCCCCATGGTGTCAGGCAAGTGATGCTGCGCAAATTCTGTTCAGCACCAAGCCTCTGCTGAGATCCCCACCGCACAACCTACTGTAGTGGACATCACCAGCTTAATAACCCAACATGAGCAGAAATCCACTTACCGCTTTCCAGATAGCCAATTGCCTTCTGTTTGATTTCTGGAGTCAGTTGTCCTGTTTCTTCAAGGTATCGTGTGATAAAGACATTGGGGGCAAAATGAACCATGTTCTGCTCACCACAGCCACTGGACATCTGGAGGAGCTCATCTATGTTGTCCAGTGCTGTCCCCAAAATGTCACCTGTAGGACAGAACCACAACTTTGGGAGCTTTACATATTCTTGTAAAAAATTTCTGGTCTCACCGATTCTCCAGGTCACCTGCTAAGACTGGTCTCAGTTCCCCTCTGCTCACACTAGGGTGACTTCAATGTCTACAGACCCCTGTAGGAACAGTGATATGGTACTTTGTCTTTCCCTTGGCTTGGTGAAATTATACCTCCATCTGGCCCAGTGTCACTTGTATAAGAGAGATGGGATGCTTCTCTGGAAGACATAAGGGCCCAGTATCACACCTCACTGTACACATTCCCTCTTGTTACTCTGCTAACGCAGACATGGTAGCACCAGAAGAAAAGAGTCATGCAGGGAAAAATTTTACTTTCCAAGACCTCCCTAAATCTCACCTAAGAAAGAGATGTGGGCTCTCTCCGACCCAAGGACCGTGTTCTCTGGCATAGTGAAAGTGAGTGTCTCTGAAGCTGAAGTTTCTGCAAATGGCAAAAGCATCAGAACAACAACAGGCAGGAGGGAGATGGCAGCCCCACAGGCATCCCCAGGAGATGGTGTAAACAAGGATGGGATCACCTCATCAGTTGGTGAAATCAGCATTCAAAAGAGAGGATGACACAGAGATCAGGCCACCCACTGATGGGTGACTGTGATGTGGTTAGGCAATGGCTTGGTGCTGCCAGGAGCTTGTAGGTCTGGGCAGAGCTGAATGACTTTGCCTCCCCATAGAAGCTCCAAAATCCCTGACTTTCCCCTCCCCATGCACCTCCAGATAGTCCTAGAGTTGTTCGCACACCACACTGCTTCTGTTTGGTCTCCTTGCTCTGTGCGCATGTACAGACCCAGTGGTAAGACAGTCCCTGTCTCTGGAGTACCTGCACCTACCTTTAGGGCACAGGAGTGAGGTGTGGGTCTTTTCCTCCAGCAGCCCCTCTGCCTGGTGGGGAAAACGCCGGTCAGCTCAGAAGGGAGCGCAGTAAAATGAGATAGCAGCTGCGCAGCACCCCGCCTTCCTGCAAGCAGCTTTTCCGTCCTCGTGGGCCATGCAAAGGGCCTCACACAAACAGGGATATGCATGCCGACAGTGAAGTTTCACTGGGAAGCAGGTTTCTAAGCTGCTACCTGGCCTTTGCCTCCATTGCCCTGCTAGCAAGCAGTTCTGACGTCTCTGTCCCATTGAGTGGAGGTGCTCATCGCATGCCCTGGCCCAGCCTACCCTTAGAATCACTCCTTGACCAGCCTCTCTGAAAAACATGCCCATCTGCCTGGCTGACTCTCCCTTCCCAGAGCCACCCACCGGGCCGTTTTGAGCCTGACCCAGTTCCGACCTCGCCAGGACCCTGAAGCATACTCTGACCTTCACCAACAGGTGTTTAACCACTGTGTCCTTCCCTCCAGACTCTGGCACAACAGCTGCACTCTCAGTGCAAACATCTTCCTGCTCCATCACCTCAGCAGTGACAGTGAAATTCACCTTCCCTAAAGAACAAAACATCAAGAGGCCAGTTAGCACATCCATGCCTACATTTCAGTTTGCTCAGCCTAAGGCTGTTCACTCATGCTTTGCATAATAGGCCACTCTCCCTTCCAGCCCAGCTCTGGTTTCCTCAAGCAGCTCTGCCAGTGCCTCCCACTCCTGCCCCTCCCTTGTCCCCTTACCTAATTTTGTAGCCTTCACATCCCAGAAAAATGTTTTTGCTGAATCAGGACACAGACAAATAGTGAACCTGACATTTGCATGCACAAATTCAAAATCCCTGGTGTCCATTAGGCTAAGCTGGAGCTAGAGGTGAAACAAAAGGGAGTTCGGGTTACAGAGCTGCTACTGTGTTTTTCCTTTCAGTTTCTTGATCCAAATGTCATTCAAGCCCAGAAGCCCAGGGTGAGTATGATGATGGTCCTGTTGCAGTATCCGTGAGACACCAACAGCCCATGAACATCACAGTCCTATAGGGTTGAGCTTATGGGGAGGGATAAGATGTCTCTGCATGGAGGTTTGTGAAGAGCTTCTTTGGTGTCTTTTGCCCAATGCCCAATGCCCAGTGCCTGAGGAGGCAGCCCCTTGTCTGGGTCTCTATCAGTGAAGTACTGTTACCACACATCCCCCTGCCCAAAAACCATCCTGGAGGGAGCCACTCACCACCATGCACTGCTTCAGGTAGCTGAAGACTTTGATTTTCAGGGGAAATGACTCTCCCCGGAAGACAGAGTAGGGCAAAGTGGGTTCCACGAAGAAGGGCTTGAAGCTCCGCAGGCTGGTGGTCTCTGAGATTCCCAGCCCATGGCTCTCTGAGGTGCAGAAGGTCATGGCTCTCCAGTCTGTGATACTGTCAGGTACTGTGACAGCTAGCTCAGCAGCCCCTGAATCACTGAGGAGAAAACAGAGTGGAAGGGGTTGTCCCCATCCCTGTAAAGATTTCTCTTGGTAAGACAAATCCAGGAGGACTATGAACTGGAAGTGCATGTGAAGGTGTGGGGATTCCTAGGAAGTAGGACAGAGGTATGGGAAGGATAGCGAATAGGTGGGCAAGGAAGAACTGAGAGGCAAATGCAAACCAAAATTTGCTTCTGGACAGTGTTGCACCTCAAATTCTTGTTTTGTGTGGGCACACAGGGCTCCCAGGAGCCCATGTTATACACCCAGCCTGTGCCAGGGAGTAACGTGTGACAATTCCACCACACTACCACCCAAACTCCCAACTGCAGCTCGGCAGTCATCTTTATAAGTGTCACTTACAGATCTGCATACATAAAACAGAAGACGGTCCCTGCCCTGAAATGGGCATAGTCCAGCCAAATGAGATGGAGAGATAGAGATCCTATTTTACAGACGGACAACATTGGCATATGGGAGAATTAAGAAAGCTGAGATGTGTGAGTAAGGGGAGAACAGTGGATGCTGCATAATTTGACTTTAGCAAGGCCTTTGACACAGTCTCCCGTAGTATCCTTGTAGCCACATTAGTGTGGACTGGACAAGTGGATGATAAGGTGAGCAGAAAATTCGCTGGACCATTGGGGACAAAGGATGGTTATTGGTGACACAAAGTTCAACTGGTGGCTGTTTACCCCTGGCATCCCTCAGGGACTGATACTTGGGCCAATACTGCTTAATGGCTTTATCAATGACCTGGATAATAGGAGAGAGGACATCCTCAGCAAGATCAGTGGACTAATCTTGCTATGTATTAGCAGGCCATACCTTGTTGGGGGGGGTGTGTGTTCCTGATATGCTGGAGGGAAAGGTTGCTATTAAGAGGAACCTTGACAAGCAGGAAAAATGGGCTTGAAAATGGGTAAATTCTGTATCTGGGATGGAATAATACCACGCAACAGTACAGGCTAGGCAGTGACTGACTAGTAAGCAACTTTGCAGAAAAAGAGGTGGGGGTCCTGGTGAGCATGAGACATCTCATGTGCCCTTACAGCAATGAAGGCCATCTACTTCTGGACAGTATTAAGAAGACTGCAGCCACTGGGTTGAGAGAAGTTATTTTTCCCCTGTATTCCTCCATTGTGGGACTGCATCTGGAGTATTGTGTCCCATTTTTGCCTTCCAGTACAAGGAAGATACTGACATACTTGAATGCATCCAGTGGAGGACTACCAAGATGGTCAGAGGGCTGGGACATTTGATGTACAAGAAATGGCTGAAAGAACTGGGGTTTTCAAACTTAAGAGGGAAAGGCTAGGGGAAGATCTTTCAGCTTTCTAAAGCTACCTATTGGGAAGGTGTAGAGACAATGGAACCAGTCTCTTCTGAGGTGCATATTTATAGGATGAAAGGTAACAGACACAAGTTGGAACATGGGAAATTCTGACTTGAGATAAGAAAAAAAAAAATACCATGAGGATGGTCAAACACTGGAACAGGTGCTCAGATAGTTTGTGGAATCTCCATCCTTGGAGATACAGAGAACTTGACTACAACCTGATCTAACTGGACCTGCCTTGCACAGGATATTGAGCTACAGACCTTCGGAGGCCTCTTCCGTCCTATAGGAGTCTGTGATTTTAAGTTCCCCAGGATCATTTGGAAAAATCTCAAGCAGAGCCAGGAACTGAACCAAACCTCCATTGTCCTTATCCACTTCTGCACACCTCCCTTTTCTTTGTGGGCACAGAAGGCACTAATGCCCTGGCTCTGCTCCTGCCCATTCCCTCTCTGCTGTGGCTGGTAGGAGGTCTGGATCCATGTGGGGCCACAGCCCATAATTACTCACTTGATGGGAACCAGAGTCCAGATGAATGTCTCTGGAAACCAGGTACGTACTGGCCCTGCCTCGCTACCCAGCTCAACGTGCTCTGACTCAGCACGTTCAACAGCAGCATCTGTTTCTGGGTCCAAGTTGTCCAAGTCTGCCAGCTCGCCATAAGCTATTGGGAATACAAGCATTCATTCAAAGGCAGAGCAACTGTGAAATCAGGATAGAGTTCAGCTGGGAAAAGCTCAGCTAGCCATCCCTCCCACTCCCACTCCGATCCCCCTTGTCCTCTCCAAGATGCCCTCAACCTACTTCACTATTGTCTTCCACGAGACAACCCAGGAACCATGTGGCTTCCAGTACGTGTGTGCTCCCCCATGAGGAACTCTACCTGCTCACACTTTTGCTCTCAGCCCCTGCAGAAAGGCCTAGATACTGCCCAGTGCCAATCTTTGCTCATTCTCTGGTTTCCAGCAAGACCTTTCCTAGTCTTACAAACAGATGTTCCTTCCTGAGACAGCTGCCTCATTTCCCCCCTTGACCATATTATCTTCCTGCCTGCCAGCAGAATCTCCAAGCAGGTTCTTCCTATGCAGCTGCCCCTCCAGTGCACTGGACGCACACACACCTCAAGACCCTTCCCCTCTTCCTGTGGTGCACATCTCCTGTGCAACCTCCCACTCATCTCTGGAAGCCATCCCCAGTTCCTCAGCACACTGCATGTTCAGCTGCCCTTGTGCAGCCTGTATGTTACCCGTGATTTCCAAAGAAACAGGAAAAATCGAGATGTACACATGTAGTCGTAGTAGAAAGTGGTCTGGGTGCGGCACTCAATGGGAGACTTGATTTTAAGGCTGGTTAAAAATGTTAGACCTGAATTCTGGAGGAAAGAACGGGAAGAAAAGAAAGTAGATTTCAGTGGAGGGGTGGTGTGTCTGAGGGTCTGTCTCTGCCCACGCCTCCCAGCATATCAGCCACCCTGTGTTGTTGCACCTCAGCCTGGCCTGTGAATTTGTACAGGGAGAGAATGCAGAACCACCCTGTTCCCAAAGCCTGGTCCTGGCCCCTCATGCCAAAGGAGGCTCTCTCCAGTCAGGATTGAGGGGATGACCACTTGCATGTGCATGCCCACACACAAAGTCATTATTTTGGCACCACAGTTTGCTGCCCACCCTAACACAGACTTGTTCTCATCTTTTACCTGCTATTCCTTTCTACCATTCTTTCCCTCCTTTCCCCAGTCTCTCTTTTTTCTCAGGTGCTTTGCTTTTCCAACCTCCAATTTTCTCTGACTCAGGCTGACACTCCCTTCTTCTCCTAACCCCTAGAAAGTCTGAGGGTCTTGAGCTTGGGATAAATGGGGAGCTGGGTTCTAGGGATCTGCCTGATTGATGGGAATTTATCAAGCTGGGAGCATGGCGTGTCAGAGATCCCTTAGTTCAGAAGCTTGGCAAATTCAGAACCTGAATTTGCCAGCATTTACAGGAAAGACAATCTGTTGAAGCTACCCAGCGCTGACCTGGGATACAAAAGGGCTCAGCTCTGATATTTCAGGTTTTCTGGAAATTAGGTTTACCTTCAGAAGTTCATAAGGATCTGGTTGGGACACTGCATAAGAGAGTCTGTTGTACATGAATGGTGACATTGTTCCCGGTGGAAGGGTGGTCTGAGGAGAACCGATGATTCCTGGGCTCTTGTGGATAGTACAGTACTCACTGTAAGAGTCTGTGAGGGTGCTGGGGTGCTCCTGAGAATAGCTGAACATACGGTACACCTGTAGATAGAGAATGAAAACAGTACAGGTCAGTGTGAGAGGTGGGAAGTTTTTCATCTCTATCCAGAGATTTTCTGTGGCCACAGAGGCAGAGCTCAGATCCTGCCTGCCACAAAAGCCCAGCCCCAAAGGTTTTTGAGCTTCATGGAGAGCCTCCACAACTTTTAGATGCAGAGCACCAGAGATGAACACAAACCCCTCTGCGGTATGGCTGCATAGCTGTGGCCACTTCTAGCTCATAGATAGTACCTGTGAGCTCAATGCATACAAGTGAGGACACCTTTCCTGTAAGAGTCACTAGATAGCTTCTTGTCTGACTGAAGGCACATCCTGGGTCCACCTAGACAGTGTCAAGAGGCAATTCAAGGGTCCTTAGACCCAGTGCATCCCAGGTCTAGAGGAGAAATGGGTCCCTTCCACTGCCAAGGCACCACTCACAGTCCAGTCTGTGAATGGAAGGACTGTCTGGTTCATGTGAGCTGGAACAAGGACATGGAGACTATCATACATTGGGCATCTTTTTTCAATGTAACTCTTCTTTTCAGAGCACTGTCATGAATTGGTTCAGGAGATGGAAGTCTGTTGCCACCTGGTTGCCACTGTGGCAAAGCACTCTAAGTTTAACAAGGATGTGACTTTGGGCTGTACTTGGGGATGACAGTGGGTTATTTTATTAGATCCCTCTGTAGAGACTGGAAATTTTGACTGGTGTTTGATGTTGGCCTTCATTTTTTCTCATTAAGCTATGTCCTGTCCCCATTCAAGTACTTGTTGGTATATCCACTGTGCCTTATTAACCAGTGCCTGCAACCAGATACTCAGAAGGCATCTCTCCAATATTAGCAAGGCTCAGCACTATTCACTATCACTGAGAAAAGTGACTCACAGTATCCCTGGTTAACTCAGCCTCTGGCCTCAGGAGAAGTACGCTCTGGTCTACAGCGCGGATGCTACATAGGGAGCCTGGTGCAGCCTGCAAATGGAGATGGACAGCCGATCCTGGGAGAGCCACTGTGTCTGAGAAGCCAAGCTTCACCTGAAACAGCAGAAGAAAGAGGGACTGAAGGCATTGACAGAGGAAGGAAAGGGGAGACTGTGGCTACTGGATTCTGCTGGACATCTCTTGCCAATTTGCAGTTAATTAGCCACCCTCCAGCCTACCTGCCCCCTCATGTTTTGTGCACTACTTACATGGTTCCTGAAGCACTTGGAGACTTTCAGACCGAAGGTGTCAGCTGCCACTTGTCCCTCAGGGAAGGCAGTGTAAACAAAGAGGGTAGCCATGGGTGAAATGAGGTCAATGGGCAGAGTGACATTGAAAGCCCCACTATACTGACCTGAAGAAAGAAGGAGAAATAGAAAAAGTACAGGAAAAGGCAAGGAAGTCTGTCTCCAAGGATTACAGCAACAACGTGTTCGTCCTCTATAATTCTTCTGTACAGTTACTTGGATAAAAACTATTATGCCCTGCTTCTGGGGAGGCCACAGCTAGACCAGGATGTAGGTTAGTGCCATTTTGCAGCAGTGACCTTACATCATGAGGGATCTTGGCAACAGTGTGCACTTGGAAGAGAAATGACTTTCCACCTGAGTCCAGCAAAAAGATTCTGTGAGTTTTCTTGGAGGTCTCTGATAATTCCTGCTTAGCAGATAAACTCTGACAATTTCATCATTTGATAGGAAAAAATTATTAGGGAAATTAAAAGACAGAAGAATGGCATATTTGCCATTTCCTCTTGATTCTTTGTGCCAGCTCTGTTGTTTCCTGTTGGTTTCAGATCTCTTTTGTCTCCTTCCCCATTTAGGCTGGAAGGGCTTTACTGTTGGGTCCTTAATCTGTTCCTGGTATTTAGATGCTCTTACCTAATGGTGGATCAAGAAGTACTGTTGTTTGTCCATGGTGTACGAGGGATCCTCTGGCCAAAACCTAAAGGGTAATGAACAGAGCAAAGGGTTGATAGTGCCTCTGCTCCATGTCGCTGGGCCAGCAAAGGGCCCTGTGCTGACACAGACCTGTCAACAAAGCTGACCTCGTTGGCGGTGCTGCCCTGCACTCACCAGGTGGTAGAAGTCTGCTCTGGCAGCCCCGTCCCCCAGCTCCGTGGCTAGGATGCGATAGTGCACAGTGACCTGCTGCACATCCCTGCAGGGCAGCATTGCCTGCACTGGCTGGATCCTCACAGAGCTGCGGCTGGAAGAGTAGAAGGCCCTCAGTGTGAGGGATGCAGTGCCATAAGACACCCTCACATTTTGACCTCTTAAGTCCTCCGGCTGGGTCTTTGCCTGTGGCACAGAAAAGGTGGCTTGGTGTCTGAAGATTTCTTACAGCTCTCCCCACACCAAAACCAAGACTGACTGGACAGTGGGCTCTGAACTCTCCCAGGGTAAGGTGTCTATTTCCACCTAAGCCAAGCTCAGTCAGCCCCTTTCTGTGGAATTTGGCATTGCCCGCTCCACCACGCTCTGGGATAACTAGCACCCAAACAGGAGGCAGGGAGCTGTATAATACTAGGGCTTGCACTAGAGCCTGAACTTCTGCAATGCTGCTGCTACCCCAGGAGCAAGCCAGATCGTTAGACTGTGTAGAGTAGCTTATTAGGGCCTGGATCACCCTTTGCTTCTGTCTGGTACGTGTGGAGAAAGTGTCAGCATGGATCTGCCCTAATAATGTATTTCACTGTTCAGTGTTATCCCACTCGCACACTGTATTTCTTTTAGGACTTTCCCTGATCCATAGGGTAGAGGTGGCAGGGGACAACTGAAGATCAATAGCCTTGCTCATCTTTGACCTATGACCTATCTGCATTGAGACTATGATATTAACATCTTGTGGACTTCCAGCAAGGTCAAGATCCATGATCTAAGATACTGTATGCACTGTGATAAAGAGACAGGACTTGCCTCAAAGTGTTTTGACCTTGAAGTTTAGATAGGACAGGTATTAGAAATCTACCCCTACAACCAGACAAGAGAACCTTCCTTGTTCATGGGAAAGCAGATGCAAACTTTTCTCTGTCAATTCCCTGTCGGTGGCATCCCCATTTAGCTCCTTACATCCTGGTTACCTGCTCTGCTCCAGATTGTCTTGCAGCAACTGCTTCCTTACTAGCCTTCCTTCTTTCTCTCCTAAGTTTTCTGCCTCCCAGGTTTCTCCTAACTCTTATGCTATGAGGAAACATAATGCAAACTGGTCACTGACATTTCCTTCTCCACATGTATTTTCAGATGCTCCTAGCTCCTTTCCTATCTTCCTATTCCGTACCATGTGGGAGTTCTTCCTTTGCTCTCTGTCCCTGCCCAGCCCCACAAAGCCCTTTCCACCTCAGACAGAGATGCTATGTAGGTAGACCTCAGTCACAGCTTTGTGGGACCTCTGTCCACTGCCCCATCTCTCATCACGTCTCCTGACTGCTCAGGGACTGTGTGTGGCACCAGGTGCCAGAATGCTGGCTCTGCTATGGGCTATTCCTCTTGCCCTAGATCTATCATTTCACTGCTCCATGCCTCCATCGCCCTGGCTATACTGAGACAATGACATAGACTACAGGTCTGAGGGGTACATTAGTGCTAGCCAAATCCAATGTAATTATTTGGCTTAACCTGTAGTAGAACTTTACTTCTGTTGTCCCATGCTGACGTCTCTAAGGTGAAAGAGGCCATCCCAGTGGCATCCGTTAAGTAGGTCTTGGTCTGCTTCTTGCTACCATAGGACACTGTAAGAATCACCTCCTTGTTCTTCAGGTGTGTCCCATTGGCACTTTTGAGTTCCAGCTGTAACGATGCAGAGAACAGTCAGAGCATTGGAGGCCTCAGGATTGAAAATCTACCTCCCAGTAGAAGCCCCAGTTCCCCTCTCTGCAAAGGGACTCTCAGTGTGAACTCTAACTCCTCTAACCCCTCCCCATTTATGCAGCAGCCATCTCATCTGGTAAAGCCTTGTGCCTATACTGTGGTCATACCTTTGGATTACGTCTTGGTAGAGATGTCAAAGGAGTGACTGGGACAGAGGACTGTGCTAGCAGCTTTGGGCAGCTCAGAGCAAGGGGACCCCTCAGTACTTCTGTGCCCGCCATCCCCTTAGGCCCAGCTACGGGGCTTTCCATGTTTCTGCCCTGTTCACTTACATTTCCATAGTAGGGAGCTCCTTGTTGATAGTAGTAGCTTGTCCCCCAGAATTGGAGAGTTGTGATATCAAAAGTGACCTTGCAGTTTTCAGTGGTGTTGAACTCCACCCCTAGGAAAGACAGGAGGTGCATGCAGGTGAGTATCATGTGTCTGAGCAAAGGCAGCAAGATTGGATGGACTGAGGTAAGGGATGGACTATCACTCATAGGGGATTGTAGTTTCTCCAAAACAATCATGTAGTTTTGTCATTTAACACAAACACTTGGCAATAGTGCTCTCTACATTTGGACCTGCTAGAGTGACAGCAGTCTACCAGGAGGTCTCTGCCAGACAGTTCTCAAATGCTCTTTCTGACGTTTTTAAAGATGGTCCTACTCATAATTGTCCACCTCCGTTCTCCTCCCATTCTCACAGCAGAGTCACTAGAAGGCAACATTTTTCGTTGCCTTCACCACGTTAGTTTACAGTGTGCTGTCTTGTCATGTGGTGCCCACCTGAAATCACTGCAGTTGTTTGCTAAGTGAATGTGTGTCACTGCTTTCAGCAAGGGGCTGCAAAACATTTTCTTGTAAGGAAGGGTTTGTAAAATTTTGTAAGAGAGGAAACCTTACAGGATGGGATATTTAACAGTAGCTCTGGACAAGTAGCCTCATCTCCCTATCTGGGATGTGGAGGTAAATCTGACGAGGAGCTATTAACAGTACTCAGTCAAGGCCTTGGTTACTCTGGTTGCTCTGAGTATCTCCTCATTCCAATGGACTTTCCTAAAGTATGGTTTAAGAATAAAAGAACCTGGCCTGGCCCACCTCTGTACACATTTCTACTGTGACTAGAAGACATGAAAAAGCAGCTCTTGCCCATCTCTGCCAAACCAAGGTGACTGTCAGAGCTGGACTGGCCGTAACAGCTTGTGGAGGAGCAAGCATACTGGTAAACCCAGTCCTGCAACTGGGAGAACTCACATGTCCTTTGTGACTCAGATGTGGGTGGTATGATACACGAGAACATCCATGTTGCCATGGTGCTCCCAGGGAAGACACAACCTTCTGAACACTGGACCCCATGGGAGCCAGTGCAGAAAGCTCCAGTGGTTTGATGGGAAGACCCAAGGATCCATAAGGAGTCTTACAGACGAAACCCCAAAGACAAGCATGTTGTATGAGGGTAAAGTAAAAGATTTTCCACGAAGTGTGGAATCAGTTTTTGCTACCTGTTCCACTTTCTTTCAGAAAAGCCACAGCTTCCAGGTTGAAATCATAATTGTCATCACGCTTCTGGTGGTAGATCTTAATATTCACCTCAGTGGCAAAGCAGCCATCCTCGTTTGTCTGGGGATGTGAAGTTGTATCTGTTAACCAATCGTGAATGCACTAATCCCTTCTGCAATGCAGATCAAACCCAAGGCCCAGAAGTCTAAAAGTACATGACTAAGACACTTGAGTTAAAGGAGCAACTCCCATACTGGCATGAAATGTACTTTTCTGTGGAGCAGTCACTAATAGGAGATGCTGTTTCACACGTATCTTATCTTTACACACTCACTCATGTGCCAGTAGCAAACATGAGTTGTCATTTCTCCCTGACAACATGAGTTCTTCTGCTAGGGCAGGATTTATCTTTAAGATATTTGCTGGGTTACTTTAAAATATGTAAGCAAATATAGATATATTCATTCAACCCTAGAGATGAATGAGTAAAGCCTGTGCTGAACTGCAATTGCTTGCTTAGATGTAAGAGGTAATTTCTGTGTCTCCAAAACAGCTGTTTCTGGGAAACAGCACATAGGTGTATCTTTACACCAGATTAAAAGGTGGTGCTAAAAAGCATCCAGTGGAAGTGAATTGATGTGGACAGGGTTTGTATTTTTTATTGCCCTGTTGCAATACCTGTTTTGTAGGCAAATCTGCAATAGTTAGCTTGCCTACAAATGCATCTTCCTCTGAGTGCATATAAGTTCAGTCAGAGAAATCACTGAGAGGGGCTAAGATTGCTATGCTGGGGCGTTAAGGACATATCAGTCATTCATCCCCAAGCAAAGAGCATTCTGCTTCAATAACCGATGTCTGTCCCACTCCTTCCTTTAGTATTCTTCCTTCTCTTTGCCCCTGTTTCTCTCTTTTGCAAGAGGAGTGGATGTCCCATGTGCTCACCTCGCCAGTGTAATCCTTACAAATACTGCGCTTGGCTTTGGAAGACTTCCGATTATAGCGGATATGTTTACGGCACACCACAGCCTTCACACTACCTTGGACTGGTTTCCCGTATGTGTACCTGGCAAACATAGCAGAGAGGACTTACTTACACTCATATACAGAAACACCAGCTCAAGGGTGAATAATACCATCTTTAGCCTGTGGTTTGCAGCTATACAACCCAGCAGCCTGCAGTATCTTCATGGTTCATGAGCTCAGCAGAGGCCAAGAAGTTAAAATGACTTCATCAGATTGAGACAGAAGGCAGTGGTAGGTGAGTTCTCTCCAAGTCAACTCTAGTCCCACCAGGCAGTGCTAGGGGACATTGTGCTGGCCATGAGGTGAGTCATTATTCCTTCCACACTAGCACTAATCAATGCAGCAGAGCTACTGTGTTGTAGGGCACATGCCCCACTGAGGGAGTCCACTGCCACACTTTCTTACTCACAGAGAAAGAAGTAGGGAGTCAGAATATGGAGAAAGGTGAGAGTCCAGGAGAACTCCTTAGCAGAGGATGCCAGGGTACCAGACTTTGGGATAGGGGTAGGGTTGGCAGAGGCCATTTTAAGGCCCGTTATTGATAGCTATGCAGTTTCCAAACCAGTAAGAATGCACCTTCTGCCATGATAAGTCAGCTCACATGCCACAGATACGGAGATGGAAGTTCTCCTCCAAGATGGTGACCACCTGAGGCATCTGGATGGAGACACTGAACTTGGGCAGCACTGTGTGAAAGCAAGAGGAATATAATTCAGTGAGAATAGAGAGAGTGCATTTGTTCCAATCCTCCCCAAATGGCTGTTCACAGACAAGAAATCCCTCCTTTCATTCCCTGACTACCAGCACAGGGCCTGGTAGCAATGCACCAGCAGCCCAGCCAGGAGAGTGTGGTCGGAGTAGACAGCCTTAGTCTCCTCCCCAGAGCACAGCTCTGGGACAGTGCCTCAGTCCATCCTCAGGACATGGGGGAGGAGGAAGCCAGTGGGCCTGAGTGAAAGTCAGTGATTACACCTACTGGCAGGCAGTTGGACATCTCAGGCACAACTAGCACAGCTGTTCACAGCTGCATGGCCCATTCAACTCTGTGTGAGAGAGGGGGGCTGGAGGCAATACATCTTTCTCTGCTGCCGTCAGCTCCCTGAGACTCTTACCATACTCCTCTACCCTGAAGGTATGTGTGCGGTCAGGCATTTTGATGGTGTACTCTCCAACTGGTGCTTCTGCAGCCAGAGGGAAGGACAGATCCACAATGCCACCCACAGGTGTAACATTCAGCCACTGTGCAATTCGGTTCCCTTTGGGGTCCTGCATAGGCAGTAGTAGAGAGTAATTATTTCCCAGTGCAAAAAGACACTCTTTTGCAGGATGTCCAAGCTACCACAGCATGGTCTGAGCACATATCCTCTTGTCCTGAGAGCCAGGTCTATGACACAGCTACAGTGCTCAGGTGAGTCCGAGCTCGAAGAGGGTAGGGCTTTTCTCCCTGTCCCATTGACAAAGTCGATCTATCATATTATTGCTCTCTGGTGGCACTGCCATCTCACTGGCTACTGCAAAACTGTGGTTTACTGCCTGCCTGTCTCACTAAGAGATAGAGGTGGTCCCTCTTAGAGACCTCTGTCATGATCTGAGCTGGCATAGCCCCCAGGTCACTGTGGAGAGGGTCAATCCTGACAGCACATGCTGCCTAAGGCATGAGCTACTTGGGAGTCATTACTGGGGAGTCTGATGTCTTGAATCCCCAGGAAAGCCTGGGAAAATGGGTCCAGGACTTCATGTAGGGGACCATGAGGCCCAGTATAGAAAGGAGGAGGATATAAAGACCTGGGATGCAAGGGCATTTGGAGGCTTTGTTGAGTGTCACGGTCAGTCCATGATGGACAGTGTTCTCCCACTGCCGGTTCTTGGGAGGGCAAGATGCAGAACTCTGGCTACGGTCACACTGCCCAGCCAGGAAGGATTTAGCAATGAGTTGATGGGTGTTTTATAAACATCTGGAACAAGTGGGAACTGTTGTTCACAAGGGTGAAGCTGGATCAGAGTGCTACGTTTGTATGAACTAGCATAAAGCATTGCATAGGTGTCTCAGAAACCATGTGTTTATGTATTGATTGCTTGGTGGGTATGGCATGCAAAGGTGCATTAGCTACTACCAATTGCTAGTTGGAACTGTGACCTTTCTGCATGGATTATTACAAACTCCCCACCACTTTCAGGTATCTTTCCTCAGCTCAGGTGATTGCAGTCCATATTTTACCTATAATATTGAAACTAAACTAACAGATTTTAAGAACAATGTCCTGAAAGCTGCTTTAGGAAGTTTTTCTAGCTGTGGAGCCACAACACTAACTGGTCAAACTTTTATTTTCTGTATGTTAAATATAAAAGTCTCCTTAAAGAAACTTCAGGTTTTTCACAAATCTTCAGTTCACAGGCTAGGGGGACTAAAAGTCCTGTGACCACTCTAGAAAAGTTTGCTGGACTGGTTTTCAGTGGCACCCATAATTTACTGCAGGGACCCCTGTGTGATTGGTATAATGTCTCTGCACTGCCAAACTTGTGCAGACACTAAAAGAAGGAAGGGCAAGAAGTCGAGGACTGTTCCCATTCATTCTGAGGTAACTGGCTTTCTGCATCCATATTTCCCCACCGTCATCTCCAAACCTGTGTCTTCCCCAAGGTGAGAAGAGATCACCACTTTCAATAAAGTAGGTGCTTTACCTTCAGTTCCACCAGGCGGTGCTGTGGGGAGGAAATAACAGTTACTGGTGGGATGCTTTCAGGTAAGTCACCATCCACCTCCCTGGCATTTTTTGTTCCCCAACCATCCATGCCAATTCCCAGGGACTGCCCGTGACCCAACATCATGAGCAGCTCCTGCGTTGCAAGTGGTGCCCAATGCTCTTTGTAAGCACCAAAAGCAACACTGAGACTAGTTGTCCACAGATGGATCACCTAGCTGGGCCAAGCACTGATCCAGAAGTCATGGAGGCAGCCCATAGCATTTTCAGACTTATTAAGGTTTCTCTCCTCTTGACTTACCATTTCATTGCTGGCAATAAAGTTCTGATCCAAGGTTACAATTCGCAACTTGACTATAGAGCAAAAGAAAAACAGGACTGGCTGAAATGAAATCAAGTCTGTTAATAATAATAAGAATGGATGGCTAGGAAAGATGTGCCCATGTACTTCAGTGAAAGGCCGTGGGCAGCAGCTAGAGCCATCCACTCCTGGGCCTACGCTCAAAGCCCTGCTACGAGCTGGCAGCCTGCTAGAAAAAAAGTGGTAGGAGAGGCAGTGTGGGGTTTCTGGGAAGGCTGGCTGTGCTGGTGAGAAACATCATTTTTCTGGACATTGGACCTGCGGTGGGGCACTCAGTCTTGCCTGCAGTGAAGGTCATGCCAATGGAAAGGGTGGAGAGGCATGAGGCAAACACCTGTACCCTGTGATGATCTGAAGTATGCTAGGGCAGTGATGGGGCCTGCGGGACCATGATCCTCGTCTGAGACTGTGGGGGAGAGAGGGATTTAGGGCACTGACAGACAACTGTGGCTTTGACTGGAGCAGTCATGAATATAACACCAGTGCACCTGAACCTTTTGTCATGCATCAGCCAAAACACACAAGCCCTGTTCATGCTGGCATGCTGTCTGACTATGGCTAGTACTGGGGAAAACACAAGCCATGCTGATGTAGGAGAGAGGTATCCCCAAATCCCGAAAAGCAGGAACAGCCTAGAAGGGAGATGAAGCCTGTAACCCATCTCCCTTGCAAAGCAGGCCCCACTCCGAGCTCTAGAAGCTACCCCATATTTTGTGGCCTGAGGACCGCTCTCTCTCTCGCAAGACATGGTGCTCTGTCCATACCAATCTGTCCAGGTTTGTACACAGGTTTGTCTGTCTGGATAAAAGTCTTCTTGTCTGTGTGCTTGATTAGGACTTTCTGTTTCTTCTGATACTCTGAGTTGGCTTCCAGGACTGTGATCCCAATAAAAGCCACTTCATCGGGGTTTCCAACAGGAGGAGGGACCTACAGGCATAGTTGTAACCATCAGTCAGGGTGGATCCCATTAAAGGATCCCATCCATTATTCTGGAATAATGATTATGATACTGCTTTTGTATTGCTCCAGTTCTTCTTGCCCTGAAAGACCTCACAGTACTTTTCAGAATATTTTCTAGAAGATTAAAATATCAGTGGGGCTACACAGCAGGAAGGACACTGGCAGACCTATACAGGCTGAAGCAGAAGATTCAGTGCCCAATTAAGATGTCCCCATGGGAAGACACAGTTCTTTGCCTTCCTGCCCAGCAAGAGCAGAACTCATGTGCTACCCATCCTAACCTGGAAAACATATTCCTCACCTGGAAGCTTGTGCAATGAAAGAAGGTGAGCTGAGAGATGGACTGCGTGATCAGAGTCTCATTCCCAGCTCTACTTTGCAAGGTTACTGTCACATGGATCGGGACTGCTTCCTTTCTGCTGAGTTGGAGGCACACTGTCTCTGAGAAGGGGTAATAGAGCTGAGATGGTATTGCCACAGCATAATTTCTATTAAAAAAGAAAAAAGAAAGGTCATGTGAAACTGGTTATCTAAGAGGACAGGTTTTGACCATAGGATTTGGGTACTTCCTAATAAGACTTTTGCTTTCTTCATTCCACTGCCACGATGCCCGTGGGGCAAGATCACACCATTCTTCTCATCTATTGGTACTGCAGCCATTAACACTGAGTCTGCACTACATGCTGCATGCATATGTAAAAAGATAAAGTCACTGCTTCCAAAACTGAAAGTCAAAATAAGGTGAAGAGGCCTCCCCATGTCACCCAAGGGATCAGCAGCAGAGCTTGGCTACATTGCAGGTTTCCTGAGACTTCAGCCTTTTCACTGAACCACAGTACGTATCACCATCAGTTTGCTTGGTTCGTTATCTGCTTTTTACCCTATCAGCTACTCTTGGTCTCAGAACCAATGTCAAGCATATGAGACCCAGTGTCTCAACTTCGTGTCCCAGACACAGTCTCATGAGCATCTTCTCTGCAGCTCCTGACACTCCTGTCCTCCTTGTTCTCTTATGCTAGATCTCACACCTCTGTGGCTACTCTCACAGCTGTGCCCATGGATAACACCAAGAGGCTGTTCATATTGGGTTTTTTTGATCTTATACAGCAGTGCAGCAACTAGAACCAAAGAAAAGCCAACATTCAAGCATGTTTGAAAACTCTTATCACTGACTTCTCCTGCTTACTGCTTCTGGACAGGAACAGCCAGCGGCATGTTTTGCAGCAGCAGCAGGGCAGGGCCTGGAAAGATCAGAACAGCAGGAGGCAGGGCCATGACCTGCTGGCAGTTCTTAGCTGGAGCTCAGCACCCTGGCAAGCAGGAGTCAAAGTCCTGCTGGCCAGAAGCCTTGAGTGCTTTCACACTTGAGTGCTGTCAAGCTGCCTTGAGCAGCTTGTCTGCTGCTAACACTAGGGGATCTGATAAGATGCCAACAGCATTTTGATTTTCCTACTTAAGCTGACTCACCTCCCCACTGCCACTGAGCTAAAGGATGGGACGAACAGTAAAGACTCACTGCTTAAACCTCCCATACCTCCCTTGCTCTTAATGACCCTTTCCTCTGAACATTTGCTTACATGCCTTTGCCAGTTCATTCCTTGCCCTTGCCTTCTGAGCTATAAAAGTACGAGACAGCATCTCTGAGGCTGTCGTTCAAGGATCCCAAGAGCCAGGCTGGACTACTTTCTCATGAATCTACAAAACACATTGGCATATAGGCAGTACAGCAGACAGCCTATTGAGGCAAGCAGTATTTCCATAAAGCAAAGCTTCATGCTGAAGGTAACTGTGGGAAACAGGTAGCAGTAAAGCATCGTTTGAGTGGGAGCTGTGTCAGCCTGTGGAACATGTTCTAGAGGAAGAGGCTGTACTCCCACTGGAAAAGATTTTTAAAACTAGACTTGTGCATATCACACCACACACTGCAGGAGGGAACCCAGCTATGACCCAGTGACATATTTCCCACTGTAACATCTACTGTTCAAGCACAGCCCTGTTTCTGTTTGCACTTATGCTATGGCTGCAAAAGCAAAGGCCTTCAAAAGGCAAGAGCAAGTTCACAAGCCAGTATATCACAGCAGTGCCTGCTGGAATAGGAGTTGCATTCCTGATAAAGTATATGAAGATAAGCAGTGCTGGGAATTGTCCTTGCCAGAGGTTTCTTAGAAAGTCTGAGGGAGCAGATGGCCAGCTAAGCCAGAATGAACACATTGCTTTAAAAAGAGCATCCCTATTAGATACCTTGGGCTCACAGTTGCCCGGTTTGTAAAGGCACCCAGCTTTGTCTGCTAAAGATGTAAATGGTGACCTATGACTCTAGGGGGAAAAGCATAGTCCAAAAGAAAATATATTCTGGAGCACAGTAGGAGACGTGAGATGTTGGCAGGTCAGAATTAAACACATGCAGAAAGGTGGCAGAGTTGCTCTGCCTGAGTCCTTTCAGAAATATATGGTCTACATCAAAGGCACTAAAGGGAGAACCAAGTAGTAGGGGGAGTGTTGGGGGGAAGACACATGAGAACCAAGTGAAACCTTGGGAATATGAGAAATTATGCCTCTCTGGAAAAACACTCCTGGTTTTATGACTTCTGTCCTGTTTCTGTCACACCGCCACCCCCCCAGGATTCCCCACAGACCAGAGCGCGTATGCGAAGCAGCTGAGGTTCTTACAGCATTGCAGGTGTTCCGGCCGTGCTAGGCAGGAGAAGGATGCTGCCCCACAGGAAAGTGATGCTCCACATAGCTGATTGCAGGTCGAATCCCTCCACGGAAATGTGAGCCTCTCCTCTGTCCCCCCTTCGCCCCTGCTTCTGCTGCTTTCCTTCTTCCCTCTCCCCCTCACCCAGAGCTGAAGGACTATGCAGCTCCTGCCCTGACAGGGTGCCCGTCTCTCTCTTGGCTTCGAAACCAAGAAGGTGGAAATCATGCTGCGCATGGCTGGGGCTGGGATGTGGGCGGGTGGAAGGGGTGGAGACAGTGTTTATTGCCTACACACCAAAGGCACTTGCCTCGAGGCTTTGTAAGGCTTGTGATATTTCTCTGGTATATGTCTTGCTCTGCCTTCTTATGCGGTACAGCTGATGGCAGCAGGAGTGCTCAGTTACTATATTTGGTACAGGGGCCCAATTTTTATAAAGGTATATTTACCAGGATTTCATTGGAAACATCCTGGGGCAAATTCGTTCTTTGTAATGTCAGTGGATTTTGTTTCAGGGTTCTTCTTCTGTAGAACTTCTTTTTTATGTATTACTTACTTCTTACTGAAATTTCACTGCTGTCCTGCAGCCTCTGGCCAGACCAGCCCAGGGCTCCACACACAGCTCTGCCAGTGCCTCCACTCCTCCCTGGAAGGAGGGAAGAACTTTAACATGTTATTATCTTTTTCTTGTCTATCTGTTCCCATTTAACTTCAGAGGCAGCCAACTTAATGACCATTCAGAGATGCAGAGCCATGGGGAGTGTTTCTGAAATCAGACGGAACTGATCGGTTTTGTCTCGCTAGTTTAGGCTTGAACTCAAAACCCTGTTGATTTTGGAGAATCAAATATGCTCCTAGATCAGTGACATACAGTGCTTTAAACCCGCAGATTATCTGAATGTCAGAGCTAGGTTAAAGGCTAGTGTGTTCCCTATTATATCGGACTGTGCACTAAGAGAGTGGATGCTAAGCACACATATGGGGACTGTGCCAAAGTAAATCCAGGGGATTGCTTCAGCTGGGAGCAAAGAGTGGGTGGATGGCAAATTCACTCTATATTGTGTACCCTTGGTTATGCTCTTCAAAAACACAGCTGGGGCCAGGGCAGGATGAGGACATCCACCTTCAAATGAGGTTGTAACTAGAAGGCAAATAAGTCCAAGCCGTGTTCACTTCACTGCTGCCACTCAGGAAAAGGAAATACAAGGTTGCAGTGCCTGAGAAAAATCTGGAGGAGATGGGTGGTGGTGTCAGTGTAGAACTGCTTCATGGCTGGAGAAAGCTGTCAGAAAACTGGACGTCTGGCTTGGGGGGACATAAAGTAGAGATTTGCTAAAATATGTGGGTACTTAAAATGTCTTGCTTTATTTGGAAAGGCCTTACAGTGGAGCTATGAGGGGACTTGGCAGGAGCAGCCCTGGAGAAGGTTCTGTACCCAGGAGGATCAGACATGACTGGGATGGATGGGTGAACAGAGGTAGTGATGCAGGGAATGGAGGTGAATTGAAAGGTTTTTACTCCAAGCTCTGATTAAATATTGGATGAGAGGAAGATAACTAATGATGCACAGAGAGAGTACTGAGGATGCTTTTTACAAGCTGAGGACAGTAGCTGGTGTGCAGCTTTGGCTCTCATCATATGCCACAGCCAGGATCCAGCCCAGCCACAGCTGAGATAAGGGTTTCTCTTAAGTCCCTTTCAGCCTGGGTTAGAGGTCACCCACCCCACGTCTTCCCCCCAGTGCTCTGGCACCCCATGGCCTGGAATACCATCTGAATGTAGATGTGGGTAGAGAACTGTGCTGTGTGGCCTTTACTCTGCTGTTGGTGGAAGCAAGTAAATATTAGCTAATGTCATTATCCTGGAAGAGATACTATCTCCATATACCAACTCCCCCACTCTTTGGACTTAGGAGCATCTGAGGTGGGTATTTAGGATTGTTCCAGCCCATCAGTACAGGCAGTTCTCTCCTCCTGTGTGGATCTTGTCAGCTGTCTGTCCCAGGCCAAGCAATGGGAGCACCAGTGCTCCTTTTAGCCCTGACCCTATTCCCAGTCGCAGCTGCAGCAAGCCTGGAATCATGAGAATATCTCCTTTTTGATTTCGGGGTGCTTGGTTGGTCATTGAAGGGTGGTGCTGAGGTGCTGCACTGTTTAGCATCACAGAGCTGAACGGTGGGGGGCCTTGTTCTCAGGGAGGCTGAGCAGAAGCAGCTCCTACGAGTCCCATTGGAAGACTGGGTGTCGAGCACCACTGCAGGTGAAGCCCCTGGTGTTTGCTTGTGCAGGCACTGCACAACCATTTTACAGATATGGCTGCAGGTAAGTGACGAAGAACTCACCAAAGGGAGATGTCTGTCTCTTCTACTGTGCCCTTTCACTCCTGGACAGAGTTGTGCCACAAATGTAACTTCATAAGGTTATGGTTGTGGTTCAGGTTCAGCTGAAGTATTTTCTACCTGGTCAGCCTGGGTTCTTCATTCAAACCAGCACCTCTGTGATGCACATAGCTGAGCTAGAGGCAGGGCAGTAATGGACCTTTGCCCAATGCCTTATGTGCACAGAGCACAAAGCACAAGGCTAAGTGCTCAGTAGACGCAGCACAGCTGCTTCTCCTTCCCATGGTGTTATGGTGTTACCACTTCCCAGTAGCTTTACTGTTCTTGGCAGCCTTTGCAATTCAAAAGTTCAGTAAAAGGATACTGGAGGGAGGAGAAGGAATCTCGCCTGGTGACCTGGCATCCTCTCTGCTGGGGCAAAGGTAAGCCCTCGTAGTGCCTTCTTGTGCCTGAGTATGGCTGGACCTGTCAGGTACCCATGCTCCCAATGTGACTTGGTGGCTCTGCATATCCTTTCCCAAATAGGATCCTGAATATAACCATATTGCTGAATGGCTGAATGTAAAGTCAAGACATGGCATTGTGGATCCGTCCTTCCCCCTGGCCTCTGAAGCACCCCTTGGGGCGTACACCATCTCAGTGCAACAAGACATGGCTCAAAAAACCTTCAGTGTTGATGAATATGGTGAGACTTGGACAACAGAGGTGAGGGAAAGGCAGTGTGGGTAGCTGGAGAAGAGAGCAGGATGATGTGGCCATGTTCATCAGACCTTTTGCCCTGGGGACAGGGACAGATGGGTCTGTGTGCACGTCTCATGCTGGGCTGTAGGTTTTGCAGCTGCATAGGGTACAAGGGAAAGGCTGTGTTCTGACATCTTGTTCCAGCTGTGGCTGGGCCCTGTGATGAGCACTTTCTGCTGCTCATTGTCACTCCCTTCTAAGCTAAGCTTACTGTCCACTCCAGTCATCTGCCATAATAGGGAGCGGCATCATGCCTTAGTCCCATTCAGTTGCAGTGATGTAGGTAAGGACAAAACCCTGTGCTGTTTAAAATGTTTATGCTTGACTGAGCTGGAGTAGAAAGCAGTCCCATGCGCAACTGTAGCAGCAAATAGAGGGTGGTGTGGCTGAAGGGAATAACACCTATTGCAGCATAGTGATGAATAACTGGGGACATTA